TGTGTGTGTTTATACTTTATTTCCCCAAAGTGTAAACTTGTTGAAACAGGAACGATGTCTTATCCTTTTTGTACCATTTCCAATGCCTATCACAGTGCTATTTAATTGCTGATGAGTACACTGTCTTTAGATGTGGTGTTTATAGTATAACCTTATTTCTAGAAATATATTTTACTTATGAGTTCAGAATTACGTCTATTCCTCATGCTAAACCTACTAGGTGATTGTTCCTATTGTAGCTGGATTATTTGTCCATTATAATTACAAAAGCAAGACTGCTTTCTCTTAGGAATATTTTTTTCTTCAAGTGATAACTATGGATCTAACTCTTATTCACCAGGGAATTATCGTGGTCTCTGACTGCTGCTGCTGCTATTTATTGGTGCTACTTTCAGCTTTACTAGTGTGCAATATCAATAAACCATGATCATTGCTTTCATACATATGTTCCCAAATTTTACATTGCTCCCATCTACACACATAACTGTCCCTCCTATTGGCAAATGACACTTCTAACAGGTAGCTGCTGTTTTCTGTGGTGCCAAATTTGTATATAACTTATTTGTGCAAAACTAATCTTTTTACATTTTTAAATCTCCCTCTCTCTCTTTCTCTCCCTCCCTCCATCCATTCGTCATGCTCAATGTACTATGCTAGTATTATACGGGACAGAAAGAAGCATAAGACTTAGCCTTGTCCTCAAGTATAGCTTACCATCTATTGAGGAAAAAATATGTACACATAAAAAAAGATTAACAACCAGAGGGCTATATGATATGTCACAAATAAATAATATGAGTTCACATAGTCTAGAAGATCCAAGGAAGATATTTGGGGCTGGAATGATGTGATGTGTTGACTGAGTCTGAGGGATAGTCTGATATAATGGGAAAAGTGCAAGACAATGAATTGGAAGACCAGGTGTTCATTTCCACATCTTATTAACTGTTGTAACATTGTGACATGGGCTTTCTGAACTTAATTTCTCTCATTTGTAAATTGGGAACCATGATCATGATAATACTTGCTCTGTCTACTTCTTCAATTCATGAATCATATAATCAAATACAGTTATATAAAGATGTTCTGAAAACATTAAAGAACAATTCCAACCTAAGTGTGTGTTGTTTTAATTTTTCATCACCTACCATAGTGTTTATGCTAAAACACCACTAATAATTAAGAAATGTTAAAAGTTCAATAGGAAGAGAGGAGCAATGCTGGTATATAATTCATATGTTATTTAATCGGGAGAGGAAATGACAAAATAAAAGACAGGGCTGTGACGCAAATATGACTTTTTTCTTTGGATACAATCCATACTACATCTATAATTATTTAGAAGCTAATAATAAGTGTTATGAATAATGTAAGGATAATGATAACCACTGTTGGGACTTCCCTGGCAGTCTAGTGGTTAAGACTCTGTGCTCCCAATGCAGGAGGCACAGGTTCCATCCCTGGTCAGGGAACTAGATCCCACACGCCACATGTCATGGCCAAAAAAAAAAGATAGCTATTATTTATTAAGATTTTACTCTGTGCCAGGAACTTTTTATACCCTCTCTAATTTAATCTTCATAACAATCCTAAGAATCAACTATCACTGTTCCCATTTCACAGAGGGGAAAACTCTGGGACAGAGAGATTTTCATTTAGCAAGGTCACACAGGTAATAACAAGCACGGGATTTGAACTTAGATCTGTCTAACTACTAAGTCTGTATGCTTATCCAGTAATTTCCATAACTTTGGCATATCACACAAAATGCAATGGTAAACTCAGAGCCAAATTGAAGTGCTTTGATGTATTTATTAACAGACAAGAAATAGATATGTAAATAATAAACTATTTCAAGCAAAGTTGAAGGGAGGAATGAAGCTTTAGAGGGAGGAGAAAGGCCAGTTCATGGAGGACTTGCATGCCATATATGAGAATTTAAACTTGATTCTGTGGGTAATCATGAGCCATTGAAGGTTTCAAGTACAGAAATGTGATCATTGCCTGCCTGGCACAGAGTTGCTGCTCCATTCATACTTCATGAACAAATGAATGAATGAGATTTGCCTTTTAGAAGGACTGACCTGGTGACAGTGTGAAATATGGTTTGGAGGGAAGTAAGACTGAAAGTAGGCAAACTGGGGACTTCCCTGGCAGTCCACTGGTTAAGAGTCCGTGCTTCCACTGCAGGAGCCATGGGTTCAATCCTTGGTCCGGGAACTAAGATCCCACAGGCTGCACAACGCAGCCAAAGAAAGAAAGAAAGAAAGAAAGTAGGAAAACTACTGTAAGATTTTGGGAAAAGATAGCAGAGCCGTTGTGAACCAGTGGCATACAGGAGCTGACTGGTACTGGCTTAAAAAGCCAATTATATATATCTCTTCCCAACTTCAGGTTCAGTGACATTCAGTTGGTGGTTTGAAATCAGCCATGCGAGTATTTATTTACACCATAGATCTCAGCAAAAACTACAAATTAGGGTTCTCTTTTCGGAGAGCTGATTTACCAACACACTACTGGCCTGATCAAAAGCTATAGCAATGTGATGGAAGAGGAGGAAATACTTACTAGAGGGGCTAATGAAATAGAATCAGCAATACTTATCATTAGTTGGTTGATGGGTGAGGAGTGTGAATGAGGGAGATTATATAATAGTTTATCAAGTTATTGGCTTCCATGATTCCAATGGGATACTGGTGCCTCTTACCAAGAGAAGGAGTTCAAGATAGGGGAAAGATAGTGAATTCTGTTCAGGGAAAACTGAGGTATCTGTGAAACATGATGGTAAAGATGCCAGTGGCTATATATTGGGGTTGCCCAAAAAGTTCGTTCGGGTTTGCTGTAAGATTTTACGGCTACGAAAAACCTCGAACAAGCTGTTTGGCCAACCCAATAGATGTGAGAGTAAAAGGAGAGGTCTGGATTCAGTATGAAACAGGGAACCATGAGGATGTAACTGATAGTTGAAGTCAGTTGGGACTGAAACACTGGGAGCAGATGAAATTTTAAAACAAAATAAAGGGATAGAACCCTGGAAAAGTCTTCAAGTTTTATAAAGTAAATATACATGAAGCCATATGCCTTTTTGTTCAAAGACAGTGTGAGTAAGTAGGTAGAATTATATTTTCTGTGTAAATGCTGAGTTTGGAATAAAATTATCACTGCAATGTATATGAGTTTTAAAGAATATTGGAATCTGATGAAAATAGAAATGTTATAGATCAGTTTTATGAGAACTTTATAGCAAGATTTATGAAAATGACACTTTAAAACAACAAAAAGCTTTTTAAATGTCCAAAAGAAGTTTAACTTTATATCAAACATTTGAAAGAATAAAAACACTCTAGAAAAATATAAAGAAAAATTATTTCAGAAATTAGCTAAAATGTAATTATAAGGAATTCTAGCCTATACTTACCTCTATCTTGACACTGTACTGCAACTCTTCCTTTCTTTGCCTCTGCCACTAGTTTTCACTGCAGGTGGGGAGAATGCTGTGTCTATATTTGTTTGGGGCCTTGTACATAGTATGTACTCAGAAAAAAACAAACAGTAAAACCCAGCCCTGTTTCTTCCATGACAGGGTGAGAGGTTTGAACAGATGACCTGGAAGGTCCCTTTCAATCCTGAGAATCTGTGAAAAGGAAGTGGTGATAGTTGCTTACCACTTAAAAGAAGAAGTGGGCTTAATTTTCTATGGCACCGAAGGATCAATGTTTCAAAGCTACAGATTCTCAGCTCAATATTACACTGGTAAGAATTTTCTAACAAAGCTATCCAACAGAGAAAGGCTGTTTCAGGAGGTGGCTATCTTTGAAATAAATGGAACGTGAGAGTAGAAGGACCCTTCCATAGCTTTAGTTTAGGTCTTCCCAATCTTCTTCATGCAATTGTCCACATGGAAAATGGTTGTACAGCACATCTATCAATATCTCAAGGCAGGACTTCCCTGGTGGCACAGTGGTTAAGAATCCGCCTGCCAATTCAGGGGACACAGGTTCGAGCCCTGGTCCAGGAAGATCCCACATGCCGTGGAGCAACTAAGCCCGTGAGTCACAACTACTGAGCCTGCTCTCCAGAGGCCATGAGCCACAACCACTGAGCCCGCGTGCCACAACTACTGAAGCCCACGCGCTCTAGGGCCTGTGCTTCGCAACGAGAAGCCACCGCAATGAGAAGCACGCGCACCGCAACGAAGAGTAACCCCCGCTCACCACTAGAGAAAGCCCACATGCAGCAAAGAAGACCCAACACAGCCAAAAGTAAATAAATAAAATAAATGTATAAAAAAAAGAAAAAAATCTCAAGGCATACGTGTCACACGTTCTCAGGGCTTTGGGTGGGAAAACGCTGACGTAGTCCAGCGTCCTCAGCTGCAGTGGGGGAATTAAATCCTAGAGAGGGGATGCGACATTCCCGGATCAAGACGTTAATGCTGAAGCTAGAACTCTAGTCTCCGGACAACTAACTAGCCAAAGTCTCCTCCCCACAAATTAAGCAGGGGTTGGATGTCAAGCTTGAAGACTGCGACAGCGGTAGTGACAGTGGACAGTGGATGGGGTGATGGTCCGGATCGGTATTGCTTTAATGTGGTCCCATTACCACTGGCATTAGAACTTGTTAAACCTTGAGGAACCTGGGACCCACACAGACATACTGAATCTGGCTCTGCTGCAAGGCCTGGGAATCTGCATTTTAAGGTTTGCAACCATGCCCCACCCCCCTCCTCGGCAGTAATTTTGGACTCTGAGCTCCACCTCCTGCTTGAACTGAGGGACTCTGCTGGGCGCGTAGCACCCAGCAACCTGACCTCAAAGAAGCGTGGGCGGCACAGCTACACTGTGGTAAAATTGTCTGTTACGTACTAGTCCTTTCCGTCGTCACAGGCCAGCCAAGTACAGTGTCCGGGTGAGGCCACCGCCGCCGTGCCTCCATCAGCCTCCCGGGCCAGCGGCTGAGCTGGCTGCGGAGGGCGGGCTGCGGATGGGGGTAGAGGCGGCTCAGCAGCGTCCCCTCGAGGAACTGCTGAGCCGTGCGGCCGTTTCCCTTCTCCGCCCCCGAGTTCCTCCTACTTCTTCGTAGTCCCGCCCACCAAGGAACCCACTACGGCACCCGCGCCTTCTTCCTTGCCCCGCCCCCATCTAAACCGGATGTTAACCGACGTCCCATAGTGCCTTGCGAGTGGCGGGCCTGATAGCAAGTTTCGGGGTTAGCTCGCGGGTTTAAGTCGTCCTTGTTGGAGTTGTTTTATTGTGCCCGGGCGCTGTACGAGACTGGGGCCTGGTCAGTGCTTCGTCTGCGGATGCAATGGCGCTTCTCCGGGGCGTGTGGGGCGTGCTGAGTGCTCTGGGAAAGTCAGGAGCGGACCTCTGCGCGGGATGTGGCAGTCGACTGCGCTCTCCTCTCAGGTAGGACTGCTCGCCTGCGCCTCCGGAGGCGGCAGGGCTCAGGACCCCCTGGGGTTGGAATGTAGACGCTTTTCTCCGTTTTCTGCCACTCCTAAAAAGTCAGGGCCGAGTTGGCCCTGTGATTCAGACCTCGACCTTGCCATGGGGATGGTGGCTTTGAGACCAGGCCTTACTGCATCAGTACCCCGTGCCTTGCTTCTGGCTACCTTTCCCCTCCTCCCCGCCCCTTTTTATTGTCTAACCTTGGAGCACCCGGTTCGGCGTCCCCTATGAAGTCGCTCCAAGAGTCTCCTGCCTTCATCTAGGCGTTAAGGAGGCGGGGCCCAGGAGCTGGAGTGTACACGCTTTCCTCCACTGTCTTACCTTCCTAGGAGGTAAGGACTTTGAGATTTAAGTTTTGCAAGCTTTTGCCTCTGGATAGGACAGGATTTTAAATGTCATTATATTTCTTGTCGAAGGTGTCAGATATATAGCATCTTGATGACATCTTGTTTGGCATCTGTGTTCAGATCCTTACGAATATGGGCACTTAAATGCTTAACAATGGTTATTTTCTTTTTATTTGTATGTAGTTTTGCGAATGTACGAAGATGGTTTTCATCTAACTTCATTGGTTATCCAAAGAAACCTATGACTTCATACGTTCGATTTTCTAAGGAACAGCTACCCATATTTAAAGCTCAGAACCCAGGTGAGGAGTTTGGGCTATATACTCTTCTTTGATGTAATAAAGAGGCCACTAAGCAGTTAAATTGGAAACTTGATTTTCTCTACCAAAGCATCCAGTGAATGCAGAAACATAACCATTCTGTTTGATGTTCTGTAAAATAGGAGGTATAACATATTTTTTACCAAATAAAAATGCTTTAAATGTAATTGAGAACTAGTGAAAGTTATTTTTAAAATAGCATGCAGAGTGGAAAGCACCCAGGGAAGAGGATGAAAAAGCTGAATTTTGGGCTTTTTTGCCATTGGCCCAGAGGACCATTGATGAATCATTTTACCTTTTGCTTAGCTCCTGCTTCTGCCACTGGGAATTATTTATAAAGTTGCAATGAAATAACTTATGTGGACATGTTATGTAAACTTTAAAGCTCTACACAAATTACTGTTAATTTCAGGAGCTTTTTCACTGAAAGTCAGTTCTTGAGTTCCTGAAAGATTTCCAGTTAGGAGGTTTGTTGACTCCCTAGAAAGGGTGTGGGTCTTTATTTAGGTTACAGTGTAAAGATAATGACTAAATTAGTAATTGCTGACCTTTGCTTATGATTTCTAAAGCCTTTTCACATGCAGTACATCACAGGGCACTTGTGAAAATCAAATGAGCTGTTAATAGTCTTACCTTATAAAGAACTGGTTTAAGAGACATGCCTCAGTACTCACATCTTTTAAAATGTAGGAGTTGAAACTAACAAGTGGTTTGTTAAATCATTTTTACCCTGTCATTCCAGTTAAGATGAGGAAGGCAATGGGGAATAATGAATTGGTTTTAGTATAATTTAGTTTGTTTGCAAATGGTATTTCTGTAATTGATATACAAGGTAGTGTTACATGAATCAAGACTATATTTTGTTGTTTAGTCAGGTTTAATGAACTTGATAATTCCTGAAAGACTTGAAAAAAAAGAAAAATGTTTTGATTGAAATGTGAAGTAAAAAGCTTATAGACACTGATTATGCAATGACTTAAACTAGTAGTCAATTTCTGAAGACCATTTTGGTGGTAAGTGATAATCCCTAATTATTGGATAACAGACTTTAACAATGTTAGAAAATATTAAATTATTTATCATATTTAAATTAGTTGGTTAGAAAAAAGCTAAATCATTGTATTAAGTTGTGTGGTATAGAGGTATCTGTAAAAATACTTAATTTTAGAGCTAATGGATTATGCTTCCCTGGAAGTCTTTAGAAATTGATCCTGAGACATAAAATTGTGACATCAATTTTTACTTTATTTCATTTCATAGATGCGAAAAATTCAGAACTAATTAAAAAAATCGCTGAGCTATGGAGGGAACTTCCTGATGCAGAGAAAAAGGTAAGCATATAAGTTTTCAACATTGCTGACCAGTTATTCTGTAGTTAAGAACAATTGTCATGTCCTTTAAGGAACCAGATGACCCAGAATTTTTTTTTTTTTAACATCAGTTATCTACAAAGGAACTTCATATGTTCTGATCCACATAAATGATGAGAATATGGATGTATGGGAGTGGCGATGAAGGGTTGGCAGCAATTTGAAGTTGAAGGCTAATTACTGGACTTTCACCTCAGTAATCATGTATATGAAAAATACAAGACTTATAAATGTGATCCAAGAGCACATTTTTCACTTGGTGGTTCAGTCTGTCTTTACCTGAAGTCATGCAGTTGTCTTTCTCTGACAGGTGTGCTATGTTTAATTAGTCAACAACAGTTTATTGACTTCTTATATGAGTTTTCTATTTATAGATGTACGAAGATGCTTACAGGACAGACTGGCAGGCATACAAAGAAGAGATAAACAGAATTAAAGAACAACTAACTCCAAGTCAGCTGGTATCTTTGGAAAAAGAAATCATGCAGAAACGTTTAAAAAAGAAAGCGTTAATAAAAAAGAGAGTGAGTATCATTGTAATATTCTTTTCCTTTGGCAAATAACAAATATATATCTATATATCTATGAGTATAGGTGTTTTTGTCTTATTTTGATGACATGGTAGAATGTCATCAAGTGTACTCTAGTTAGGAAAAAATAGGATTGTTCCCTTCTGCCACTAGGACCACTTGCCTTTGAGTCTGTTTTGGAAACCCTTTTTGCTACTTCTGGATGCATCTGAATTTAAGATATATAGTTAAGACTGGCATGAAAGCTGTAGGAACAGAGTTGTGAAACAGCCAAATCAGGAATAGCAAGAATCTTGCTTCTGGGTCTTGTCTAGAATAACCTACTGATTTGAATTGTTCTATAGGTAATGGTGAATTTTATTTTGAATATTGCTGAATAGACTGAATTAACTCAACAATTTTTAAAAAGTGCCTGTTGTATCTAATCAAATAAGAAGTGCCTTTAGGATGAAATCCTGTTTTTCCTCATTAAAAAAAACCCCACATGTTTCAAAATTAGTGGTTTCCAGCTTAAGGTATTAATCCATTATAAATTCCACTGTTTGATAGTTAGACTACATCTTTCTGTAGTATTAGGTGTGAGGTGGAGAACTTGCTGGTCCAGTACATATACAATAGAAAAGGGTCATCAGAGTTAAAACTATTTCTCTGGAAAAGTAGATTCTAGCCTTTAATGTGAGGTGCTAGGATCTTTCTCCCTAACCCTAATGTCTTAAGCCCTCCTAGCTCTCGGGTTGAGGACTCACCCAATTTCATGTCAATGATAGTAATCTGAGACTGCTGATCCAATTAGTAAAAGGAGGCCAGAAAAGATACTAAGAGTGAGAAATAACTGTCTCCGCATAGGGATGGTATTTGGAGGATTGAGAACTAGGGTTTTCTCTCCCTTTTTTGCTCTCCCTTTCTCCTTAATGCACCCAAACTAGTATTTAGAGTGAGGAGGACCAGAAATGAGGATTGGGCAGATATAAGGGGTTTCCTAGTCAAATATTTCTTCTGTTCCTTTCTCTGTTCTCCTCATATTCTCATTACATGTGTGTTATACCTATTGTAGTTGTCCCATGGTTGTTGGATATTCTGTTATGTTTTCTTTTCTTTTCAGTCTTTGTTCTCTTTGCTTTTGGGTTTTCGAGGATCCTTTTTTTTTTTTTGGCTGCGCCATGCAGCTTGCCCCCTGACCAGGGATCAAACCCGTGCCCCCTGAAGTGGAGGCTCAGAATCCTAACCACTGGACTGCCAGGGAATTCCCTCTGTTAGTGTTTTTTATCTCTGGCACTTCTTTTTTTTTAAAAAATGATTGTGCACTTATTTTATTTATTTAGTTAGTTAGTTTTGGCTGGGTTGGGTCTTCGTTGCTGTGCGCAGGGTTTCTCTAGTTGCGGCGAGTGGGGGCTACTCTTCGTTGTGGTGCGCGGCCTTCTCGCTGCAGTGGCTTCTCTTGTTGCAGAGCACAGGCTCTAGGTACGTGGGCTTCAGTAGTTGTGGCACGCGGGCTCTAGAGCGCAGGCTCAGTAGTTGTGGCTCACGGGCTTTGTTGCTCCGCAGCATTTGGGAACGTCCCAGACCAGGGATCGAACCCATGTCTCCTGCATTGGCAGGTGGATTCTTAACCACTGCGCCACCAGGGAAGTCCCTCTAGCACTTCTTTTTGGTTCTTAATGATTTCCATCTCTGCTTACAATGCCCATCTGTTCTTGCAAGCTGTCTAGAATCCTTAGCATATTAATCACAGTTGTTTTAAAATTCTGGTCTGATAATTACAGCATCCCTGCCATGTCTAGTTCTGAGGATTGCTTTGTCTCTTTAAATTAGGTTTTTTGCCTTTTAGTATGCCTTGAAATTTTTTCTTGATAGCTGGACGTGATGTGCTGGGTAAAAAGAAATGCTGTATATAGGCCTTAGTAATGTGGTGAGGCATGGGGACAAGGGAAGCATTCTACAGTCCTGTGATTAGGTCTTGGTCTTTTAATGAGCCTTTGCCTTGGCTCTGTGAAGTTCACAAGTGTTTCTCGGTTTTTTCTTCCCTTTGTAGGCGGTGCAGGATGGCTAGAATAAGCTGTAGTCAGGTATTTCCTTTCATTGAAGTCAGTTAGGCTCTGATAGTATACCAGCAGGTTAGGTTCTGATTAACTAGTTTCCCCTGAGGGCAGGCCTTGTTAAGAATAATAAAATGCTCAGGCATTTCAAAATGTTTCCTTTTCCTCTCATCCTGCTGAAAGCAAGAGGGGATTTTTCTTGATATTTACTGTTGGAATCTGGTCAAGTTCCTGGGGATAAACCTCACAATGTGAGGTCTTCCTATGACTGGGTAACTCTCAGAGTTGTCCGCATGGAGCCTCCAGCAGTTTGTTAACTGCAATTCAGTTTCCTCCCCGGCACTGGTTTCCATTCCTGAGTCTCTGCTTCAGTAAGCCTCGACTCCCTGTGTTCACCCCTCTGTCTGTCTCTTCAATCTTGGGGGCAGCAGTTTGCCATGTGTCCTCTCTTCTGTGCATCCAAGAGGAGTTGTTGATTTTGCAGTCTGTTCAGCTTTATACTTGCTAGGATGGAGTGGTGACTTCCAAACTCCTTACATGTGGAACCGGAAACCTGAAGTCTGAGTGTTTTCTTTCTCTCTGTTGGAATTTTCCTTTCCATTAGAGTCCCAGTTCCAACTAGTTAGAGAGTAGGTGAGAAGTGTGGGAATCAGGAAGTTGCAGGTGAAGCACCTAGGAGAGAAATCCCTAGCAGTAGCTCTAGAAACAAAAGGGGAAATGCATAGTTAAGTTGTAAAATGCCTAGTTTTCTGACTGAGAGGTTCAGGGCCAAGAAAGTGATCTCTACATGTAAATCAGAGAAGCCCTACTTTTACTCATGAATGAAAGTTGGGTTTGTTATTGACTGTAACCAAATTGCCATTAAAAGCTCCATCATTTTACAAATTACTGTCAAATTCAGCAACTAAATAAGTTAAGATGATGCAATATCTTTCATTAGATAATGCATCCCCCGACCCCTTTTGATACATAGTAAAAAGAATTGAAATTAACATATCTGTTGAGGGTTAAAGGTTGAGAGACATGCAGGGAAGGAAATGAAATGAGAGATTATTAAACAGATACTCTAATGTTCTTGAGTTGTGGTGGAGACATGTAGTGCTTTGGCCAAGGAGATGGTGGTGTACAAAAAGATTTTGTACATATGTGCTCAGTTGTTCAGTTCATGGAGACCATGAAAATAATATGTAAAGGAAATGTTTTTGTATGAAACATAACTCACAAAATCTATTAGAATTTTCAAAACATTACTATAAAAATTCTGACCCCAAGAGGGAACAATCACATACTTTATATAAGAATCATAATGTTCACTTTAAAGAACATTCTGTAATGCATAGTAGTGAATAAAGTTTTTCTGTAGATGAAATTAAGTCTCATAGAGGTTAAAACTTTATCTCACTCTTCCATTTTTATTACTTAGGAGTTAACGATGCTTGGAAAACCAAAAAGACCTCGCTCAGCTTATAACATTTTTATAGCTGAACGTTTTCAGGAAGCTAAGGATGGTACATCACAGGTAAAACAGAACTGTTTATTTTTAAAATTTTTGTTTATTCTAATTTTTAAAATACGTAGACAGGAAATTTTAGGGGTGCCACATGTCAAATGGTGAAGAAAAGTGGTAAATTACTATAAACAAATACTATATACAAATAAGGCCCTCTTTCTTGTATCTCTTTTAAAGAAGAATCCTTTTTCTTACCACATACAAGTAATTTGAATATGTAGTTGCCTATATATATAGAGAGAGAGAGAGAGAGTCAACTTTTAAAATTCAAAAAACATAAAATTTTCAGCTTTATAGGGTTGTTAAAGTTCTGGAGACTTCTTATCCAGCAGTTCTTAACTGTTTTACAGTCACTGGGAAAGTAGGGTTGAGGTGTAATATTTTGTACTGGGATTTGAGTGTAACCTATGGCTTCATGTTACATCCTTTAATAAAATTTTAGTTTTGCCCACAGGAATGTATTACACATGTGAATGTCATAGGAATGTGCAGGAAAAAAAAAGCTTGTCGTTCCTGCTGTGGCTTGGTGTTGCATTTATTTCCTTCTTAGAGGCTCCAAATTGACAATTGTATTTTTCCTTTTATAATAAGCCATGGTAAGAGAAGTCGGTTCAGATTCCTAATTCTTGTCAATCTGAGATGAAGGTTTTTTGCCACTCTGCCTCTTTGGGTTACTTAGATCATTTTACAAATCCTGTTGAACATATGATTAAATAATGTATATATGTGATGTACTTTTTCCTGGCTATATGCTTTTACTGATTTACTCCCCTTGGGATTTTTTTTTTTTTTTTCCTTTTTCGGTACGCGGGCCTCTCACTGTTGTGGCCTCTTCCGTTGCGGGGCACAGGCTCCGGACCCGCAGGCTCAGCGGCCATGGCTCACGGGCCCAGCCGCTCCGCGGCATGTGGGATCTTCCCGGACCGGGGCACGAACCCGTGTCCCCTGCATCGGCAGGGGGACTCTCAACCACTGCGCCACCAGGGAAGCCCTCCCCTTGGGATTTTAAATTTAGTTTCCATGGCCCTGCATTACTAAAAAAGCAAGCCTATTTATTTTTTTAGTTGGAATTTGCTCAGTCACTAACTTACCTTGGATTTATTGATAGTCTTCTTATTAGTATAAGAAGGTTATATGCTTGAGAATCTGAATCAGTGGTTTTCAACTCTGACTGCATCTTGGAATCACTTCAGAAGCTTCATGGCTGGGCCTTATCCCTGGAAATTAAAATTAACTCAATTATATCATTTTTATTCATGTAAAAACTACATCCATATAGTTTAAAGAATCAAAATGAGACTTGTTATGAAAGATACTAGTTTTACCGTGCTGTTGTATTCCTTACTCTACTCTATCTATTCCTTACTCCTTACGACTAATACATTCTGTTTTAGTCGATTCTTGTGGTATTTACCTCCATATCTCTAAATAATGTTCTGTATTGTTACTTCCTGATTTTTTAAAAAAATTCTAAGCATTATATATATTTTAGGCATTACCTCTCACTATTTGATGAACATTTAACTCTTTCTTATTCCGCTGTTCACATTTCCATCATCCTACCCCCCAATATAGTTATCATAATTTTGTTTAGATCAATATAGAGTACTTAATATTTTATGATAATGTAAACCATATTCATAGCTGAGGTGTTCCATTTGCTGTGATTATTTTTCCTTTCTTGCAAAACTTTCCCTGAAATTGATTTTCTTTTTTTTTTTTTTGGCGGTACACGGGCCTCTCACTGTTGTGGCCTCTCCCGTTGCGGAGCACAGGCTCCGGACGCGCAGGCTCAGCAGCCATGGCTCACGGGCCCAGCCGCTCCGCGGCATGTGGGATCTTCCCAGACCGGGGCACGAATCCGTGTCCCCTGCATTGGCAGGCGGACTCTCAACCACTGTGCCACCAAGGAAGCCCCATGTCTTGTTTTTGTATTTGCTTAGTTTTTTATGTACTATCCATAATTCCACCCAAATTCTTCAATATTCACTAGCTTTGAGTACATTTAGATGCATTAAATATTCTGTCAGTTTCAATCCAGAACCTCTGATTTGTTCCAGTTTGGTTGTTGCCTTCTATGCATAGCTGACATCCTGGATCTTCATCATCACCCTTGTGGTGCTTTTGTTTCTTCTGTTGTCTTTCTTGGTTTACTGATTCTATTACAGCATTTCCCCCAGCCCAGTAAGAGTACATGGGAGATTAACTTTTTGAGTTCTTGCTTGTCTACATTTGTTTGATAGTTTGACTTGACATAGAATTCTAGGAAATCATGTTCTTTGAAAAATTTAAAAATATTGCTCTTTTCTCTGGTAGCTTTTTAAATTGCTTTCGAGAAGTATAAAGCCGTTTTGATTGTTGGTCTTTTGACTGTGATCTGTTTTCTTTTTTCTCCCCTTCTCTTTTTTCTTTGTTCTGACTCTCTGGAACTCTTATTATTTGTTTATGCATCTTCTGAACTGGTCCTTTAGTTTTCTTAGCTTTTCTGTATTGTTTTGGCCTTTTTTGCATTTCTTTCTGGGATTTACGTTTTCACTTAATCTCCCTGTTTTCAGCATGTTACTGTTGCCCCAACTGTACTGGGCATCCACAGAGTAACTATTTTACCTTTTTAAGAGGATGAATATCATAGAATCTGCCCATGGTGGGGATTTAACCTCTTTTTTAAACAGACTTTCAGTCGATCTCATGTTTTAGCCTGACCTTCACCTCTATTTTATACCTGTCTGGTGCTGCCAAATTTCTGAGCTACTTGAGAATTCTGCATTGTAAATCAATTTGCCTTTTACTTTTTTGGGTTTAGGTATCATTTCTCCACCTGCTTTTCAGCTTCCAAAATGCTGTGTTGGTACTGCCTTCTCCTGTTGTCTTTGTCCATATGGTTTTTATGCCTTAAGAAATTTTAGTTTAATTTTAAAAAATAAATAAACCACAGAAATTTATTGCTTACAGATCTGGAGGTTAGGAAATCCAAGATCAAGGCACCATCATGGTGAGGGCCCTTTTCTGGTTCATAGCTGGCACCTCTCACTGTGTCCTCACATGGTGGAAGGGCTCATTTAATGGGATTTTAGGAAGCAACAGAAGTAAATGTCTTTCCATCCCTTTTTTTTCATGATTTATTTTTTTAGGTGAAAGATTATTCATGCAACTTCATAAATTATTGTTTAGTGCATTGAGTGTGAAACTTTATGGATTAAATATATTTTTTGAATTTATTTATTTTATTATTTATTTTTGGCTATGTTGGGTCTTCGTTGCTGCACTCGGGCTTTCTCTAGATGTGACGAGTGGGGGTTACTCTTTGTTGCAGTGTGCTGGCTTCTCATTGCAGTGACTTCTCTTGTGAGCACAGGCTCTAGGCGCACGGGCTTCAGTAGTGGAGCATGGGCTTAGTTGCTCTGTGGCATTTGGGATCTTCCCGGAGCAGGGATCAAACCCGTGTCTCCTGCATTGGCAGGCGGATTCTTAACCACTGTGTCACCAGGGTAGTCCCTATGGATTAAATACAAGGAAAAAGATATGTTATGAAAAAGATATGTTATGAAAGAAAAGATATGTTATGAAAGAGAGCATTAAAGCAATTCTTTCCAAAGCTAAGAGGACAGTTATTTAGTAACCGTCCCTGAATATACTAAATGTGTTTATAAAGGTAAGTTTAAAATATTCAAAACATAGGCTCGGATACTATCTGGTACCTCATTTTTTCTTAATAGGAAAATAAAATTCAGTCAAAGTTCTGGTCAGAATAGTAAAGTTCATTGTTTTAACTCTACTTCTCCTTAAAATCACTAATGATATTCTCCTAGCTTTAAACAGGTACTTTTCAAACCATATCCCTCTTTCCCTCACATTCTCCTTCTCCTATCCCTCTGTCTCTTCTCTGCCCCTTATTCTCCACCCACCCATTTTTCCCTTCAGTCTTTGCTCTCTGGTAGCAACAGCACAAGCTGTGTGACGCATACTCACTCTCCTCTCTGCCTCTCCTCCCGCTATGGGATCCCTGCATCCCTTTAATTTTATAGATGAAGAACCAAGCCTAAGGGAGGTAATATGACTTTTTCCAAGTCACATAGTTAAGTTCAGCTAAGTAGAATAAGAACTGGTGTTGTATTTTTCCTGTGACTACACCTAAACATGTTGGCACAAATTTTAGAAGAAAATTTTAAGCTACAGAGAGGAAATAAAACACTTAGTCTTTGAAGTTAGTCTATGACAGAATGTAGTTTATACTTGATTATTAATGTTTCTGAATCCAAAAAGATAAATATCTGCACAGGAAAAGCAACCATCAACAAAATGAAAAGTCATCCTACCAAATGGGAGAAGATATTTGCAAATGATTTAAAGAATTCATACAACTCAGCAAAAAAAAAAAAAACTGATTAAAAAATGGGCAAAGGGGCTTCCTTGGTAGCGCAGTGGTTGAGAGTCCACCTGCCAATGCAGGGGACACGGGTTCGTGCCCCGGTCTAGGAGGATCCCACATGCTGCGGAGCGGCTGGGCCTGTGAGCCATGGCCGCTGAGCC